AAACAATTTATTCCCATTAGTGGTGTCAACACACAAATTCAGTTCACAGGTACCCTGATAATTTATATCCCGAGTGCTTAACAAACTTTAATATTAATTTATTAAAATACTATATTTCTAAAGGGTTTAATAAATTGTTTATTTTATAAGTAATTTGTTTACGGAAAATAAAAAATAATTTCCACTTAATGACAGAATTCAAGGTTTTAATGACTTTAAATGTGTTGGTTTTTTCCCATTAAGTTATCAAATATTCATAATTTTGTTTACTTTTCAAATATTATTTTTATTGCATTTTAGTAGTTATTATAATCTGAAGTACAATTATCGCAAATAAATACTTTAAAAACTAATTATGGTAAACATTAAACTATTTTAATGTAAATACGAGCTGAGCATAACTATTGAAAATATTTATTATGAGATTTATCATAATATCTAAAAGCATTGGATTTACTATTAATACATCAATATTATTGAAATCTATAGTGTATAATATAATGTATACAGAATATTCTTTGCACTAAATGTTTATAATATGATTGTTTGCATAAACATATATCTAGTCTAAGGTTAGCACTAAAAATAGGATTCTGTAAACATAATACAAAGTTCACAATTGCCTAATGGTAAGGTAGTCTGTACGGGGAATGGCGTGTTTTCGTATAATTAAACTGAATTTTCCATTAATGCACACAAAAATATAAAAACTTATATTTGTTTTTTCCCTATTTGATTATCGGTCAATATAAAACGCTAGCATAAAATCTATACAATAAAAATATACTTAAATAAATAGCAAATGTAATGACAATAAAAATTATTTACAATTAGCTCTGGGTTTTATTATTTTTTGTACTTTTTTTGTATTTATAACATGATCATTTATTATAAGCGATGTTATATGACTATACAAAATATCAAAAATACTAATGCATTATTCACTACACCGAGTATATACTGTAATTTGGATATGGTAAGTTATCAATGATAACTGCATTTAATGTGTAATCAATATAGATTTAATATATGCTAATAGAATCATATAATTGTGTACTATGTCCTTATTTAAATAGGAAAATATATGGCAAATATTAAATGTTTAATTATTGATATGAGATAAAAAGCTATGCAATACTTAGCCCCTAACGGTGCCCATCCCCTCCCCCTCCCCGATAAACTTGAACTACTTGTGCCACGAGTTTTTCTATTTAAACGTTAATATAAATATCAAAATTAACTGTAATTGCGCTAAACATAGGACTGTTTTATGTGGCAAAAAGGTCGTACAGTATAG